TGTTTGAGCTGACGAACAATAGCTGGTTGTGATTTTCCCGCCAAATATACCGCAATCACACTATTACGTTTAAATTCCATTGCGAATAACTTTTGTTGTATGTATAAAACTTAAATGCAAATGCTTTTGACGGCTTATAAACAATATACTGAAGTGTTATCAGGCCAACTTTGACGTAGCTGTCATTATCGATTTGCTAGATATATAGATGTGAAGTTGGTAACAGTTCAATTGTGTAACCCTGTATATTTTGAGATTATTAATATTAACATTTAATGCTATTTGGATAATATTAATATTTTGGTAAGAACCGGTTTGTCAATTTTCATTTTAAATGATTAAATAACGATGTCTCTTAGCTGTTCGAAATTTGTAAACGAATTTACGATTCCGGCAAAAGCTTTGCAATCGCTTTGACGAATTGAAAAGAAAAATATATATGGCGCAAGATCACAATTCGTCAAACAATTCCGTGTATGAATCGGTATCAATAGGATCTTTTAAAGTTATTTCAGCATAACCCTGCATCGTCAGAGATCCGGGTAGATATAAATTCACACACAGTACGGCGAACGAATTGCCCTGCTTATTCCCCATTTAAAGTGGATAGCTACAGAAGTGTCATCTACTTTGATGCCACTAAACGAAAACAATTTAATTAAATTGGTGGAGGTGTTCAAAATTTGCAAAGGTTTACGATTTCAGCAAAGCCTTTGCTATCGCTTTGATGAATTCAAAAGCCAAACATACATGGTACAAGATCACAATTCTTCGATATGCCTGACGATGCAGGATTTGGTAAATTATCCCTTTAAATTTACATATCCCTTTTATATTATCTTATCACGTCTTCATGCATATCCCATACTTTTATGTTGCGAATAAGTTATTTTCTTGTCATTTGTATTTTTTTATTCACAGCTAAAATACTGTTTGTTATGAATCAATGTAGATTGATGAACACATACAAAACAACTTCATTGTTACACTTCAAAAAAGAGTTTTACGAATAAGGATTTTATTTAAAGTTAAAAACGTTTATTTTGATATATTTTTGACCTTCGCGAGTAGTATTTTCGCTAATTTTTATTTAGTACATTACCTTTATAAAAAAAAACAACTTTTCAGAAGTCACAACTGTATTTACTAACCCAAAAATAGTGTCCTTTGCACGTGCCATCAATTCTTAATAAACAGACTAAACAAATTTGGAGTCTTGCCCAAATGAGTATTTTCATTTTGTTTTTTATTTATAAACAGCTTTATGGTACGTTCTATATTATTTTATTGACTAAGCGAGGGTGGTTGAAGAGATTTTGTTTAAAATGGACGTGAGTGTTAGAAAATATCTAGGGTTTTAGTGTTAACGTTAGATAACTAATTTTTGCATGATTTTATTAGTACAAACAAGCATGGTTTAGTTCACTTAAGTTTTGTAGTGATTTTTATATATTTTACGTCTCTATATGTACTTATTTTGAACTATACAACAATGGTAGGTATAGATTTATGCAAGTAAAAAGTTATTTGTCCTCTATTGATATTTTTTTTATTTTAACTGGATTGCCAAGAGTAAATATATCATACGATATTTTGCATTTTATGTTGCTACTTTTCTTCATGAATTCTTCCTGATTGTAATAATATTTCCTAAGCTCTTATTCATTTCCGTGAATTTAGTATATTTTGCAATTGTTTTTCATTCATACTGGAGTTGTTAAAGTAGTGTTATTCCTGTTACACTCCTGGTAAACCGTAAGGCGAAATAATTTCTTGTAAACCATAGGAGTAAAAACATAGTGCAGCGACGAGGTTCGAGATTAGCAATATGCGACAGAGTTATGTCATTTTTTTTTGGAATTGACACGTACATAGTGAAGTGACGAGTGACTCGACACAGCGACAAAGTTAGCGACGCGACAATATTTAAAATGTTATAATTTATGCTCCTGATCCATGATCCTTCTGCTAACAAGCATAATAAAGAAACTATGAATACAGTGAAGTCACACATACATTCTTTTTCCCTATATGAATCTCATTATACTCGGCGAGAAAGTAGTAGATTGTATTTGCCATGCCATCTTAATCTTCAGAAAATGTACAAATTATGCTGTAAAGAAAATAATTCACCTGTCTTTAGACTTATCTATGAAAGAGAGTTCTATAAAATAAACATTTCATTTAAAAAACCTAAAATAGATACGTGCCATAAATGTGATGTGCTGAGTAATAGTTATTGACATATAACCTAACTAGTCATGCCAATGGAGAAGGAAGTGTAGCATGTTACATGTAGCACGAAGGTGAAGGAGGAAGGGGAAGTAATAATATAGCTACATGTATTTATAAAGAATTATTATCACTACCGCTACATGTTTCCAAAGTAACCCTGTACTAGAATACATTCGGTGGTCAGAACAAAAATTAACATGTTGCTATGATGTTTTTAGTAGCAATGCAAAATAACACTAACTTAGAAGTTATTGACCATCAATTCATGATGAGTGAACGCAGTCATATGGAGTGCGATATTGATCATGGATTGATGGAAAAGCAAAAAAAAAGGTTAAGTGTTCCAACTAGCCATCCTCACGACTGGTATCAACTTGTGAGAAGTACAGGAAAAAGGAAGAAATTTAATGTTGTAGAACTTTACCATGGTTATTTCCTAAATTTTTCAGATCTTTTGAAAAGTATCTGTGCACAATCTGTAACAGCGACAAAGTTAGCGACGCGACAATATTTAAAATGTTATAATTTATGCTCCTGATCCATGATCCTTCTGCTAACAAGCATAATAAAGAAACTATTAATGCAGTGAAGTCACACATAAATTCTTTTCCCCTATATGAATCTCATTATACTCTACGAGAAAGTAGTAGATTGTATTTGCCATGCCATCTTAATCTTCAGAAAATGTACAAATTATGCTGTGAAGAAAATAATTCACCTGTCTCTAGACTTATCTATGAAAGAGAGTTCTATAAATTGAACATTTCATTTAAAAAACCTAAAGTAGATACGTGCTATAAATGTGATGTGCTGAGTAATAAACTCAAAGTTACTGAAAGCGAAGATGATACAACTAAAACAAAAGATAAGTATTCATCACACTGTTGCAGACAATGCATATGTTATGAAGAGCAACGATACAGAAAAAGCAAAATGTGATAGTACTTTTAGATGCCTCACTTTTGACTTGCAGTAGTGTCTCCCAACTCCATATGTAAATTTTCTTCTGTGGCCTTTTACAAAAGACAGTTATTGACATATAACCTAACTAGTCATGACAATGGAGAAGGAAGTGTAGCATGTTACATGTGGCACGAAGGTGAAGGAGGAAGGGGAGGTAATAATATAGCTACATGTATTTATAAAGAATTATTATTACTACCACCACATGTTTCCAAAGTAACCCTGTACTAGAATGGGTCATTCGGTGGTCAGAACAAAAATTCACATGTTGCTATGATGTTTTTAGTAGCAATGCTTAGTAGCAATGCAAAATAACGCTAATTTAGAAGTTATTGACCATCAATTCATGATGAGTGGACGCAGTCATATGGAGTGCGATATTGATCATGGATTGATGGAAAAGCAAAAAAAAAGGTTAAGTGTTCCAATTAGCCATCCTCACGACTGGTATCAACTTGTGAGAAGTACAGGAAAAAGGAAGAAATTCAATGTTGTAGAACTTTACCATGGTGATTTCCTAAATTTTTCAGATCTTTTGAAAAGTATCTGTCTAATACATAAAAAATATACAAGAGGATATCCTTTGATAAAAAAGAGGCATTTCTGAAGCTAAGTGTAGGACAAACTAATGCTAGGTTGGTACCCACCAATTTGTATAAAGGCACTCTTGCTATATTAATGCAGAAGAAAAGGGATATTTTGGATATTCTTCCTCTGATAAGTCAGTATTTCACGATTTTTATAAAACTTTAAATACAACTGATGCTGCTGATGTGATTCCAGATGATGAAGATTCATCTGACGCAGAGTAATACTTTTCTCCGTTAAGGGACGTAGCCATTGGTCTGCCGAAACCGTATTATCATTATTTCTATATTTTTATTTTTTGTCGTTTTCAATAAATATTGCATAAATATATTTTATTTATTACTTTTTTTTAAACAACACCGTTTTTTGGGCTGAACAAAATAGTATAAGTCATCTGGTACGTGTGGTCTAAATAATATAATTCTCGTGTTTTTTTGTAATTTCCATTTATTTAAAAAGTATATATACTTTGTTCAAGATTGGTATTTACAAAGTAAAATAGGTAATATAACAATACTGTGTACTATGATTTAGAAGATATAACAATATATTAGCTTTAGAACAAAATTATTTATCGTTTTTTGCTTCTTCTGAAAAGTTGACTAAATACCTACTAAATTGACTTCTTTACCGAGCACCCTAGATATGGTATATGTTAGCTGCTGTTTTGAATGTATGCTTGTTTGTTTGCCGCTAATATGCAATTAGGTTTTCTGCCCAAATACAAATCGCACAATGAGTCCCTGTACTAATGTAGTATATTTATGATTGCCACGTTTTTAGCCGCCTCGCTCAACTCGTCGATGCACTATATTTTTACCATAAGACAACTTAAGTAGTACTGGTGGTATTGAAGACCAATAAGTATTTATGTTTATTTGATTATATTATATTACCAGATACTAAATTTATATCACTACTGATATAGCAGTATCGCTAAATATCACATATTTGCATGTCGCTGTTTCTTACTCGGTTATCATTGCTTTGTTACTTTCTAGTGCACCGTTAAAACCTCTATATTCCTTGAAAATTCAATGAGAATGTGAATATTCTACTTGGACCTAACAAATAGTTCAAAATAAAAAAAACCTACACATATCTATTATTTATTGGTTCTTGCTAATATATATTATCAACTAGCACCCAAAAAAGATTTAGTTAATTTTATGATTGTTAAAATGACTAATAGAATTATTGTTTTCTTTTTTCAGTTTCTCATAACCCCTCCGTCCTCAATTAAAAAACCGTCTCCACAAACAAGTCACTTACATGCTAACGCTCTTGCCTTGCAACAGAAACAGCGCTCCTTCCTGGCTTTCGGCTTCGGAGCGAGTTCGGCGCCATCTAGACGAGAATCACATGTCAATGTCAACGTGACGCCGACATCTCACGACATGTCATCGGATACGCCTGAAATTAGGAAGTACAAGAAGCGGTTTAACAGCGAAATTCTGTGTGCCGCGTTATGGGGTAAGTTTAATTCGTTTTTAGGAGCGGTTGCATACAGAACGTCCACGATACATAAAACAATTACGACAATTTGGCATATTTATTTATTTGTGCTCATTACTATACATTTTTATTTGTCAATAGTTTTGTTTTATCATCCGTTTAATCAACTGTTCTGGCGTATTTACTTACCAGAGCTGGGTAATTACATGTACTTTAAAGAAATTACAATTAAAAAATACTTTTCTGAAAAAGAAACTAATTACTTTAGGTTTATACTGACAGTTGTATATATTTTTATTTATTACCTACATTAGAACTTTTGCATTTAGGAGATGACCTTCTACGGAGATCATAAAAACTATTTCCCACCCCTAAAATTTATCCCATTGCATCCTTCGTAACTGACATCTAGTTGAATCTATTCTTGATATTAGCATAATAATTTCTTCTTTTCTTTCTCAAAAATTATCTCTATTGATCTGTCGTTCATAAAGTAGATTTTAATATAAAATTCATCTTACAAATATCTTCTTTTTCCTTAATGTAAGCAATTTTGCTTGTTCATTGGCGGATTGTTGCCTCTATGGGAGATTGTGTGTAACTAAATGTGTAATGGATTGTAACTTCAGGGAGATGTTGAGTTTTTTATACCAGCAGCGATGCTACTGCAGTATATTAATCTCTATTGTCAACCATGTGGTTTAGCGAAGGTCCCTCCCGAACAAGGGGGATAAGAAAAATATAAGTTAGGTCAAAAAACTAAAACGAGAAACCTTGTCTTAGCATCTGCATAAATGTGAATCAATTCCATGCCATGTTTAGCCAAAATTACAAGTAATTACAATTTTAAGAAAATATTAAATAGCAAATGGCAAGGATTAAATGAATATAATAATTATTAAATGAATTAGTTAAAATAAAATATTTTACATGCATATATAATTAATCAAACGTATTTTGGAGAATAGGTTAAGTCAAGAAAGGAATATTATGAGACAGATATATAAAAAAATATTAAAAAAGACACTCTCTATTGGTGAAATATTAAATATAAAGAAATCGACTTATCCCAATGGAATGAATTTATGAGCAGAAATTACCACTTTAAATACACCAGAGAAATACATAAAAAAATTATTCCCTTTCTATTACTTTGAAGTGAAACTGACATGACAAAACGGAGTTGCCGTAAATAACTAAAATCCCCCTTTTCAGCATTCTAAAGATTGTACTTTACCGGTGACTTGACGATGACCAGAAAACTGTATTGGTCGAAACTGGTCATCGCTATAGTTCGCCAAATATAGCTGAAAGTGTGAAAACGCGTGACGATCATGATGCGCATTCGTCAAACGACGGACCTCACATTCGCACTGACGGTCCAAACCGTTTGTATGTGCGTTCTCACTTCATTGTTAGCGCAGGCAATGGGAATTTCACACTTTCAGCTATATTTGGTGAACTTTAACTAAACAAATATATTAACTGCTTAAAAAAATGCCTTTTCCATATGGATTTAAAAAAATGAGTTGCTAATTCTAGTGATCAAAGTTGACATAAACACAAGTTCCTTTAGTAATACTTTTTAAGTATGAATTACTCAGCTCTGTTTCTTACTTACGTAGTTTTTGTCATTGTTCTTCTTTAGTTTGTGACCATGCATTTTAATTAGATTGATGTAAGTTTCACAAATTTCATTTTTTTATTTTCAGGGGTCAATCTCCTTATAGGCACCGAACATGGACTGATGCTTTTGGATAGAAGCGGACAAGGTAAAGTTTATCAATTAATTTCGAGGCGAAGATTCCAGCAAATGGAAGTACTCGAAGGCCAAAACATTCTTGTAACCATATCAGGGAAGAAAAATAGGGTTAGAGTATACTACCTCAGTTGGTTGAAGAGTAAAATATTAAGGACAGATGGCGCTAGTGATGTAAGTATTTTAGTAATCGTTTTCTGTAGGATTTTATGTTATATGTATCAATCGTTATTATCAATGTAAAAATATGGACGCTATATGACCATATTAAAGTTGGTAGTTTGATATTAGCAGGTTCATTTAAAATTTAGTGAAAAATAGAACCCATCTTCACTCTATGAAGTCTAGATTTAAAGAAAACTAGATTTATCTACATGAGGAAAAAGATAAACGCCATATTATATTTTTCCTCGTCTAATGGAATACAATCTACACTATAAAACATTATAAATAATTTTCTTAGGTATCCCAATGACATTTACATGTCATTCGCAACAATCATTGCACTATATATTCGAATGAAATGAAATTTATTTCTTTTGAGTTGTGTATGCAATACGAATATTTTATATATATTGATATAAATATATGGGTTGACCGCTCAAAAAAGTCCACCCAGATATTTGACAATATTCATTGGACTTTGTGAAAATGCTACAACAGGTCGATTTTTATTCCAATATTTTAACAATATAGATATCGTATCATTTGACAACCCTCTCCTTTCAAGTACCACAAACAGTTAATTTTAAGGAGAATTCAGGGATCCATAATTTTTTTGCCATATTAATTAAATATATTTTTGTAAAGAGGATGTTTATTGAGTGTTACATCTCTTAAATACCAAACGTAACGCCTTTATTTGGCTAGTGTCAATTTTTCTCAACGCGTCAATAACCACATGCTTTTTAAATATCCCCATAGGAAGAAGTCCAGGAGAGTTAAATCGGGGGATTTTGCTGGCTATTCATTAAAACTCCTTCGTCCAATCGGCAATCCATTACCTAGGAAACCGTTCATTATTGTATCGCCTTACATTTATGCTATAATGTTGAGGTGACGTTACCTCTCTGGGTACTTTCCATTCTCCATTGTCTCCTGATTTGTATTTCTAGATGTCTGTACTTGACGATCTTTTCGTTGTATTTAACATCCAAATTATTGGTGTTAGGTATCGTCACATCAATAAGGATTGTTTGCCTAGTAAGTTTATTAACTAGTATGTGTCACTGGTTGGTGTGTGAGCACAGTGCGGTCCCAGAATAGCTTGTAGTTGCCATTTTCAAGTATTCTGTCAGGGACGTATTAATAGTAAGGAAGATGGTCGGTTTGGAGAAGTCCCAGTTTGTCAGCTAGTTCTTGGTGGATAACCTTTCCTACCGAGTCATTTCGTTCTTTATAATCAGTACCGACAAACGCCTGGTAGCCCCCGGTAAGATTTTGGATGGTTTCTTGGGTTTGGCATCCATATCGGATCAATATATTTCAGGTAATTTTTTGTTGGAATAACCTGATCCTGAATGGCAAGTAGGAAACCCTCAGTCTCGGGAAACATCTTTCCTGATGTTAACCAATAGTTCGACGCTGTATTGTCGACATATTCTTGGTTGATCTCATTGAGATGTCGCCCATGCAGAGGTTTACTCATCCAGGTGCACATTTTTTCCTGCTTAGTCAGGTGGTTTATGCAAATTTCTTGTTCCTTCAGTTTAAGCGGCGTTGTATCATCTACTGCACAAATTGCTCGATGTAAAAATGATTTTTCCCTTTCATATCTCAATAATGTTGTTCTCTCTGCTGCAGTGCGTGGGTGGTGTTTTTTCGCCTTTGTGAGAAGTGTTCTTACTTTCCGCTGAAGACTTTCTATATCCGTTTTTGGCCACTTGATAATACTAAATGTGTAGCTAAGCGCGGAACAAGCGTTCGTATTTAATGCCCCAAACAAATTTTTGCTATTAATATATGACACATTTAGCTGACGTACTCTCCGCACAAACTCAGAAATTACTTCGGTTTTCATTAGTTTATGGTCAATTTTTCGCGCTTGCTGTACTCAGAGATATTTTTACATATCATTTTCATCCATTGCCTCGATGTTTTGGTCGTTTTTCATATCGAAACGTCCGGGCTGAACCTTTCCTCTGACCATATTAAGTATACGGCATTTGTCTAGTCCAAAATTATATCTATAATTATTATTATATGAATATTTTATTATTTCTTCCAGCAAGTGGAAAGGCGAAATGGTTGGATCAACGTAGGAGACCTCCAAGGTGCAGTCCACTTTAAAATAGTTAAATATGAAAGGATAAAGTTCCTGGTGATCGCCCTAAAAGACAGTATCGAAATTTACGCGTGGGCGCCGAAACCTTACCACAAGTTCATGGCTTTCAAGTCGTTCTGTGATCTCCAGTATAGGCCGCTGTTGGTGGACCTTACAGTCGAAGAGGGGACTCGCTTAAAAGTTATTTACGGAAGTAGTGATGGTTTCCATGCCGTCGATTTAGACTCGGCCAGCGTATATGATATATACCTCCCGAAAATTGTAAGTAAATTTTTTTAGCTATAAAAAAACTTTCATTGGCAGTTTTATTGTAACAAATTGGGTGGGACGTAACTCAGGGCGTAACTCGCTTCAGTGCATATATTTGTGCCGTGTATTATTCACCGTGTCAACATGACATTATTAAATCTTAAATATTAAACTAGCCTTTGATAGATGGCGCTACTTGATACCGAATTGGTTTCGGTGTTGACATTTGCCATTCATGACATGACGTCTGTCAAAATTTTAAGTTTTAAAACAATAGTTTGGTTTTTACAGCCGTTAACAAGCAAATTTTGTGTTTTCGGAGAAATGGAAAAAGTCGAGTATCGTTCGGTAAGAGAAATGGTAAAAGTCGAGTATCGTTCGGTGATTAGGTTCCTCCACAAAAAGGGTAAAATGAATGTGCAAATCAAAGCCGACCTGGACGAAGTTTATGGTGAGGTTGCACCACCTATGGTGAGCAACAGTAAAATTTTGGAAAGCTGAATTTGTTTGTGATCCTACAAGTGTTGTTGATGATGAGCGTCCTGGGAGGCCAAATGAAGTCACCACGCCGGAAACGATCTACAAAGTCCATGACATGATTATGGCAGATCGTCGAATTAAGCTCCGCGAATTAATAGAGGTCCTAAACATTTCCTAAGAACGCGTACACAACATCATTTACCATCATTTGGACATGAAAAAGCTATCCGCGCGATGGGTGCCGCGTTTGCTGACAATCGATCAAATGCAAAAACGTGTGACCACTTCAGAGATGCTTTTGGCGATGATACGGCGCGATCCGAAGGATTTTTTCGCCGATTTATCACCGTTGATGAAACCTGGGTCCATTATTACACACGGCAAACCAAAGAACAGTCGAAACAGTGGCGCAAACGCGGCGAAGGGCCGTCGAAGAAGGCAAAGAGTGCACATTCGGCCGGCAAAGTGATGGCGACTGTTTTCTGGGATGCGAAGGGCATCATTCACATCGACTACTTGGTGTTTTTTCTATCAAAGGCTAGTTCTATATCAATCTATCTCGACTAATTCTTGTTTGTATGTAGATATTACTCGTTACCATAGGCAGATAACATTTACCTATGAGCGACTGAGGTCCTAAGGTAACAAATATTTTTTAAAGCTTGTATAACTGCAAAAAATGGCTTTGTTCAATTAAAGCCTGACAGAAGAATGCAAAAAATTATAAAATTGTTCGAAAATTATAAAAGTTACTTTACTAGGACTTTAAAAGTATTAAGTTATAGCAAACATGTTCAATACATATGAACGGTGCTTTAAAAACATTGCTATCATTAATTATTGTGTAACTGTCAATATTAAGTCATATATAAAAAATTTCTCTTTAATTAACTTAAAAAATGGAGTCTATGGAAATCATACCATCACAGATGGCATTTGATATTGAATTGGAAAAAATATATGTTGAAGAAGAGGTTGACAATTTTATCTATTCTGTTAGAGAAGAACTTATAGATAAAGTGATGGTGGAAATCGACAAAATAGATAGTAAGGATCGAACGGTAACGTTTATTGTGGATATAGCCTGTGAGGCTCTTTGGAGGTAATATATTTTTTCTTATTACGTCTTGTTGCATATGAATATTAAGTATTTAAATAATTAAGAGTCATAAACATAGTACATGGAAGTCCATTTGATTAAACGAGTTCAAAAGCTTAAAATTACGGGTTAAAGCATAAAAAAGTTTTAAGTTTTAGTATTTGTTGGTGTCAACAAGTAAAAATTAAAAAATACAAAAAACTGAAAAAAGTAATAAAATGTCTAAAACTTTTACCTGGGAGGCTAACAAAAATACGAAATTGTCTTAATTTTAACATTTTAATCATTTTTAAGGTTCTTAAATCTAGAATTTATTCATCATGCGATTATACCAGACATTGAAAGTCCAGAATGGAGCGGAGATGCACCAGCAGAACCCTCTCCCAAAGACTTTCTGGCTACTAAAACAATACCGATAAGAATTAAGGATGTCGAGAAAGAAAAGGAGAGTGAATCTGTTAAGGACGTAGTTTGCGAATGCGAGTTTGACAAGAACAGCTTGCTTTGCGAATGCTTATTAACTGTAGATGAACAAAATCTGGTTAAGTATCTAGAATGTGAAACAACTGTTTTTTAGTGTTAGTTTTAGTAAATTAGCCATACAAATCGGCTTACATGATTTTAGAGGATTAAATTGAGTGGCATATATAGTGCTAGTCAAAAGTCTCCCCCTCGTATCTTTTGAACGGTTATTCAAATCATTTTAAATCCAAACAAAATTAGTATGATTGAAGACGTATATTAAAATAATAATTGTAGTTTCGTATTTCATTAATAAATATTCTAACGTTCGCCTCTGGTTAATTGTCAAAAAAGTTGATGTTGACGTAAAAACAATTAGAGAATTGAAAAAAGTCAACTTTTTGACAAGTAACCAGAGGCGGAGGTTTTAATATTTATTAATTAAATGCGAAACTACAATTTTCATCACTTGCCATAAGGTCCTGGACTTTTGCAGAGCAGATCTTACGAAGAACTAAAGATATTGACAAAATGCGTGGAGATCAACATTATATCCTTGGTATAATTTTTAGTTTCTTCTCATGTGTTTGACCTTAATTGATGCTATTGTCATATGTTTACTGATTCAGATATGATCAGTTAATAATTATTTTCATTCATGCTCTATGTGACTCATTTTCCTCATTGTTCTGTTTTCATTCAAGAGTTAATGACTTGTGTATACATTAGAACTAATATTTATTTTTGTTATTTGATTCAGATTCTGAACGAATTGCTTGTGGTCTCAGTCTCAAATCAGACTTAATGAACGAATAGACTTTTTTGAAAATAGAGTGCATATTTTTTACTTTGAATTTATTCTGTTGTCAATTTTAAGTAAACTTTAACCTCTTCAGGACCTGAATGTTTACATGTTCAGGACCAGGTTTAAATTAAAATAAAAATATATGTGGAACAAATAAATGACATAATAAGTTATATTTAAATCAATAAAAATAAACTGTCAATCCTGCGGCTACGACCTGCATGTATGACTCGGTCTGGCGAGGAGCGGAAAGCGACTAATCAATACTTAGTAACGGAAAAGAATAGGTCTGTCTCAGATCAATACTCCAAGACCGGGTACTGAACTGCCACTAGGTAAACACTCTAGCAGAAGCGGTTGGCTTTCAGTCAATACACTAGGGCCAGTGGAGTTGTTATCAGATCAACACTCTAAGGGTAACTCCGGATGGTTGGCCTCCAGTCAATACCCAGAGGACCGGTGGAGCTCCCACTAGATCAGCATTCTAGCGGAACTCAATTTCCTCTTGTAGAGTATGCTGTTTTATATCGTCATAGGCCTTTTATCTTCTCTAGCGCGCGTCGATGGAAGAGGGACTTTTGGTGGGAGTTCGTGTGTATGGAGCGCTAACGAGGCGGGGGCGATGCACGTCGTTACAACATTCAAATTAACATACTATCTTTAAGAGCCCTTATCAGACGAGGATACTGTATGTGAGATACTGTATGCGAGATACAGAATTGTGTTGAAAGCGTTCATTTAACGTAATGTTTCTTCTGTATCTGGCATACGCATTCGGTATTCGCAAACTACAGATGTATCTCAGTTTTGTCACAACAATAAACTATAGGGACGACATTGAAAAGTAAATAGAACGAAGGATTTATAAGAGGAAAAACAGTGATGGGCGTCTAAATTCAATATTGGGATACAAAGATATATATCGAGAAAGAAAAAGTCTTTAAGAGTATCGTAGTATGTGGATGCGAAATATGGCGGAAGGTCTGACAGACCATTAAAACTGGAAAAAATATCTTAAGACCAAGCCTTACAACGTATTAAAGTCAAAATTTAGAAGAATTTGAACGAAGCGACAGTTTATTTGGTATCTTCATATTCAAATAATGAATGAAGGATGACTTTCTAAGCACGGTCGAAAGAAGGAAAAGAAGAATACCAAAACAGACAGAGTTAGCAGACGTTCAAACGGAAATTTTGAAGAGAAATCTTCAAACCAGAGACTCAATCACAGACGAGAAAGGAAACTAGAAACCGGAAGGCGTAAGTCTGTCATTTTCTCAACGGTCACTTGGTTCTATATCGCTTACCGTCAATTTGGTCCAATGTAACGTCATTTTAATCCAAATTTATCGTTGTATCATATGTATGTTTTAATATTGTGTTATTTTTAATTTTAATTAGAGGCACATTCTGTATTTTCAATAAATGCTTTAAAGTCCAGGAAAGAACTTAAGTCCCTTGAGAATGAACTAGAAAATGAAGCAGCCGATATTAGTTTCAGAATCTTCAAATACGTGGTGGTCCTTGCCTTGCAGAATGTATAAAAATGTATAACACTTTGTTATTTTGCACTGCATAGACACATGAAAAGTAGAAACTTAAGCCAGAAACCAAAAATATCAACATACAAAACATTATAGTTAGTTCCAGAGCTGATATATAGATGGGAAACATGGACCATCTCCAAGAGAGATGATAATTGCTCCTATTTGAACGAAGAATCCTGAGAGGAATATTCGGTGTTGTCTGTGAAAGCTGTATTTGGACAAGAAGGTACAACTGTGAGATACAGCACAAATACAAACATATCCGGTGGTAAATACTTAATGTCTCTCATAAAAATAGGAATACTGAGATGAACATGGGCATCTAGCAAGATGACCGAACAAACTTCGTAGACGAAACCTTATGTCACAACCGGTGTGAAGTAGACAGAGAGGTAAGCTAAAACTTAGATGGAACTATGGTATAGGCGAAGATGCTAGAAAAATATATGCAGCAAACTGGCAACGGTTGGCAGTGGGTAGGACTGGCTGGCGAAATATGACGGTCTAGGCTCTGCTATATGGCACCATTGATGATAATGAATTATAAAGTTGAGAATTAGGGATCAACAGCAAGGATATTCACATAGAATAAAAGTGACAAATTACTAAAGCTTATACT